GTGGGCAGTACCCAGGCCAGTCACAGCCTCAGGGCCTGGTGACTGTGGTGGGTTCATGTTCATGTTTTCTGTGTCTAATTGCCGGGGCATATATACCCAAGAGACAGAGACAGCACGCCAGTGGTCACACCACGATCCTTTTCCCTCCAATTTTCCATCCTGTTGGGGTTTGGGAGCACACACGGGTGTCCAGCGTTTTTCAAGCCACCAAGGCTGGGACTTGAACATGGTTGACCATGTGGGACCTGCTTCCCTCAATCACCAGGCCACACTTTGGCTTCATATTTTTATTTTCAACCAGGTGCAAAATGGCACCTGTGAGCTGAGACGGCCAGACCTCCCGGCCCCAGTGTCCAGGCGATCCCTGCAGCATGCCCAGAGCTGCGTGCTGGGCTCAGGGTGGGGGCTGCGTGGCCCGAGCACAGACATGCCAGTCCGCACGGCTGCAGTCTTCCCAGTTAGAGTGACACACGCTGTGGTAGTGCTAACCGTGCAGGAGGGCCACGGCTCCAAGACAGTCCAAGTCCCAGACATGGTTCTGAGGGGCCTCGACTTACCCTCCCACACTCCCCACGGGCACCTTTACATGCACGCAGGGGTGCAAAAGTTCACGGAAAACACACACTGTAATACCATACATGGGTCTCTTTTTTTTTTTTTTTGCACAAAAATAAACTTCACTTTAATCCCATATCCCACACACATCTCGAGGCCCCATGTACACGCATGTGTGCAGGGAGACAGGTGGGTCTCACGCGTACAACTCACTGACACTCAGGTCACTGGGAAACCAGGCAGGAAGTGCTCCACCCTTCCGAGACAAGGAAGCAGCCGTGGCCTCAAGGATGGGCAGGAGCGTCAGGGCCTGGTTCCCGGTCCCAGCCCCGCCCTGGCTGGCTGCACTCGGGTCCTCTCCTGGCTCTCCTGGCCTGGCCCTTTGCCCAGGGACACGATTTGTCCAGGCTGACACACTCAGTCTCTTACTTGCTGCGTGTAGACCTTTCCCATTCAAAGAGATGACTGATGGGTGGAATTAAAGGGTACCACGGAGGGGCCGGCAGGTGGTTAAGGTGCTGGATCCCATGTGGCTGACTGCAGTTCCAGTCCTGGACCCTGTGGCTTGAAGAACATGCTGGGCGTGTGTGTGCATGTGTGTGTACCCAATATCCTGAGAGGAGAATGGAGAAGGGATCATCCCCCGGGGAGTGATCTCTCACTTTCCCTCTGTCTCTGTCTCTCTCCGGTGAGCACACATCCTATGCAAGAAGCTAAAAAGGACACTTAACCTCTGCATTTTCGGCCTGGCACCCTGTGCCTTCTCTGGTAGTGTTCTATGGCCCCGTCTGACCTCTTCCAGTGGTCTACTGTCACTTGTACACACCATCCAGCCGTTCCAGTGTCAAGTCACACACGGAGCTGATCCAAGTCCACCCTCGGTGGCAGCGGCCACCCGCAGTGTGGGCTCCCGGTGCAGAACAGCCAGGTCCTGGCCGCAGCGCCGTGGCCCAGCCTGTGCCCTGCGCTTCTGCAGACAGGTCTTCAGATCCACGTGGGGACAGAGCAGGTTTTGGCCCCACGTGGGTCTCCCCTGAGCCTCTTCCTGCCTCCGTAGAGGTCCGGTTTGAGCTCTGTCCTTCCCTCTGAAGATCACATTTTCCTTTAATCTGCAGAGGGCGAGTGCTCTGTGTGGGGGCGCCCCACAGGGCATGGTCACGCGATTCCCTCTCCTCCACTTCCTGGTTTCAGAACCTGGGGCTCATGTGCATGTGTGCCCTGCGTCAAGCAACCAAGCTGGAACTAGCACCGCATGGCTGCCCATGTGGGACCCAGCGGTGTAACCAGCAGGCCGCAGGCTGGCCCTGGTCATTTTTTAACTATCTTACAAGACAGGTTTTCTGGCAATAAATTCCCTCATTTTAAAAGAGTTAAAACTTAGTTTTTCTGAGAGCGAGAGACAAAGAGTCAAGCAACTCTGAACAAGGCCTTCCTGCTGTGACCCCATTTCAGCTGTCCCAGGTAGTGGGCTCGCGTGTGCCCAGGTGCTCTGGGAGGTGCTGGAGTACGAGCCAGGACCTTTCCCATGTGGGCCCAGTTGGGTCAGGGTCGCCCGGACCCCAGTGTCTGCTTCTGAGAAAGCCTGTCCCCACGCAGGACGCTGTTGACAGGCCCACCTGGCGGACATGCTCAGCTCTGCCCTTCTCGCCTGTGGGTTTCCAACCAGAGGCCACTGCGGTTCCTGCCCTGGCCCTGCTGCAGGAAAAGGGCTTTCCCTCCAGTTTCCTCAAGCTCTTCTGTCTTCGGCTGTATCCAGCTTGAACACAAGCCTAAGAGTGGCTCTTGGTCTGTCCTCACTCTGCCCAGCCCTCAGCGCCCACACCTCGCGCCCACGCTCTCTTCCCAGCCCAGCGTCAACTCTTGGCCACCTCACTGCTCTTGGCTGGCCCATTCTGCTGTCAGTTTTTCTGTCCCTCATTCTCCGTTTCAGCTAGGAAGTTTACGAGAGGGGGCAGAGGGAGAGGAGGCGGGGCATTCCATCTGTCCTGCCTGTCCTCCCAGTGGCTGGGACACTGCGCCCACAGCTCCTGGCCTGGACCAACCTCGGGCCTCCCCAGCCTCAGTCACCGAGCAGAGCGGCCCTCCACTGTGTCACACACGGCCTCGGCTGCGAGGTCTCTTCGATCGACCTGTCCTCTCATTTGACCCTGCCTTCTGCCCTGCTGAGTCGCCTGACAACACTGTCAGAAGTCTTCCGCTCTGGGCGCTGATTCCGCACTGCGAGAGTCCTCCACCTCGGCCGCGTCCTGTGCCGAAGTCTGTCTTGCTGTGGCTTCTCCTCCCAGGCCGGTTTGTCAGCGACTCCAGGGCTGCGTGACCACAGCACAAGCCTATTTCTCTCTGGGTGTGCCTGTCTCTTTGGATTTCAGGGTCCATTTGTCCCCAGTTCCCTGCCGCTTTGGTTTGTCCAGGTCCTCTGTCCGAGGTTGGCGGTAAGGACTGACAGTGCCTCCACAGCAGAGCTGATCCCGAGCTCTCCGCTGGGCCTCAGGCCGAGTTCCCTGTCTTCCCAGGTTCCCTTAACCTCAGTGAGCGAATGAGGCCTGGGGCCTGAGGACAGCACCCCTGCTGGGGAGGAGGCCTGGGGCCACAGACAGCACCCCTGCTGAGGAGGGCAGGAAGCTGCCGGGAGGCCTGGGGTGGGTTCTGGGTTCCCACCCGAGTATGCTCAGCTGGTGGTGCTGCCTGTGAGCTGCCTGTGATCCTCAGATGTGGGGTGGAGGCAGGATGAGAGACCCAGTCAAACACCTGTCCCCACCTCTCCCCCTCTCTCATAAAGGGGACGCAGGGCTGGGTGATGCCCTAGCACTGCGCCTCTGGGAGGTCCAGGGTTTGCGTCCTGGAGCGTCAAGTGCGTGGGGTGGATTGCAGCGTGAAGGCCCAGATGGGTGCTGCCTGTTTCTCCACTCATGAAGGAACTAAAATAAAAACCAAAAGCCAGAGCAAGGCAGAGTGAGGCGCAGCAGCTAGGAGCCACCCCAGCGTCCTGGCTCCGCACGAAGGTCGCTCTTGTGTACTTCCCTCTGGACGCACTGCTTGCCGGGCAGTTTCTGAAGCGGGTCCAGGGGTCCATGCCGCTGTGTGGGCTGAGCCCGTGACCTGCAGCTGTGGGCAGGGCTAGCAGGAGCACATGTCCCTGCTCATGGCTCTGGCCACCAGTCACTTTGTGTTTGTGCCAGAGGGCATCTGTGCTCACCAGAGACAGGGAGACAGGGAGACAGACAGAGGGAGAGGAGAAAAGCCTCCGGCCACGGCCTGTGGTCCCTTGCAGTTCCTTCCCTACCTGTCTACCCTTCTGAGGCATGCAAGCCCACGTGCCTGGCTTGTTTCACAGACCTTGAGGGGCTGGGATTCGAACCCAGTGGTTGGCCAGATGGGATCCGACTCCCTTAACCACTAGGCCAAGAGCTGGCTCATTTTACGTTTCTGTGTTGGTTTCTGGAAGCCTTGGTAGCAAATTGCTGGCACTGGGTGGCTGGGACAGCGGGAGCCTGTTCTTCAGGTCTGGAGCCCGGCTGTCTGCAGTCAGTCTTGCTGGGCTGCCATCCGGGTATGCAGGGCCCCCATTCTCCTTCTGGGGTTGGGGTCCTGCCTTGCCTCCTGGCCTTCCTTGCTGAACCACTGCAATTTTCAAGGCTACACCCTCAATCTCTGGATCTCTCTCACCATCATCAAGCCTTGTGACCCTCCTGAGAAAGACACAGGGAGTGTACTGCAGGCCGGCCTGGACAGTCCAAAATCCTTCTCCCGCTGTAACATCCTGAACTTAATCACATCTGCAAAACACCTTCCCCGTGCCAGTAACATTCATAGCGCTGCGGGGTCAGGACGCCACCCCCTGGCCACCTCCAGCCCTCTCAGCTTGGCCCTGCGGGGTCAGGACGCCACCCTCTCGCCACCTCCAGCCCTCCGGGCTTGACTCTTCTGACTCCTCTTTGGACAACAGGTGCGGCGACGCGGCAGCCGGGCTCCTTTCTGCTCGGCTGGCCTGCGGGTCCTGGACAGGAGGTGGGAACAGGC